GTGCTCCTGCCCTCTGAAGATGCCGGTCACAGGTGCTGGCGAAACGTTAGGAAACAAAACTTCCAGAACACGGCCACACAGCCCGGAAGACCCACACCAGCCATCGTATGCCGGCCGTGAAAGCCTTCTACAATACAACTTGAATATTGTTCAAAGTAACTAAATAGAAGCTCTGTCTATGGAAGAACTACCTTTTTATGTATAGAAGTCACAATGTGGGTTCTAGACCTCTAGAAGCATGAGTACGTTGTTTTAATTCAAATAGTGCAGGTGCACAAATTGTTTGAACTTTGCCCTCTGTTGAAAGGTGATGACACATCTCCATGTGATAGAGGAGAGGATGAATCAAAGTTTGTCCTTGTTGTACAAAGTACCATATGTGGCTGAAGAAATCCAAAATGAGATCGGTGAGTATTTTTGACCTGTTTGCCCTCTGTCTAGGCTAGCTAGTGAAAATCGCTAAGCTTAGAAATAGAAATAAAGTAGGCAGTGAAGAAAGGTTAATTTCAGGGAGTGAAATAGCTTCTCCCCACCCTGATGGCCCTACAACCCTACTGTTGTGAAGAACCTAATTGCCCCCTTTTCTAATTCTCTTTGCTTTTCTTATAATCGGTAATGGAAGCCTGATTGTTGCAAGCATCATGTGTTTTCCCACAGCAAAATTGAAGCAGAACTATGCTTTCCACTTCAGTGAGACTATGACAACAGTGAGGCCAGGCTACCTTCATGAAGAAATAGATGAGCATTGCTCCCCTTACCCTCCTGCACAGAAAGTAGAGATAATGTCAGGAGGCAGGTTCTCTCTCCTCAGCCTCCATTCTCTTGTGACACAGTCCATTTCACTAGATTAGCTGGGGTTGGATGTGGTCCTGAGATCTTGTTCACTTCCCCAGCCCTGTCAACCCTTTGCATGTTGTTTTTAGAGAAAGAAAAGTAATGTTTTTAATAGATTGGGGAAAATAACAAATGCAAGAAGTTGGATTAAATTGTTTGGAAGCAGCATCTTAGAAAGAAAGGTGTTGAATGAATGAATGAATGAATGAATGAATGAATGAATGAATGAATGAAT